ATTTTTTGTAACAAATAATAAAAAACAAAGAAAGTGGCAGGTGAGGGGTTCGGGGGACAATAGTTCAGCAAAACTAACCAATACTGCAGCTGATTTTGACAGTGTAGGCAATGTTTCACACTCATAGTCCCCCACCTGTACAAAGAAAGGAAGTAAGTACATCTTCTGCCTTCCTAAGGACCAGGCTTGATCACTGACTGACCTCTAGCTGCTAAATCTCATGGTCTTTTCTTAGCTCTCCATCATCTTTTGCCTTTCTATACTTATGGAGGGGTTCCCTCCCTTGGCTTCTTCTGTGATGCTTCACTTTGCTGGTTCTTCAACCTAACTATTTCTTGTCAGTCTCTCTTGTTAGACCTTCTCCTGTCTCCTGACCCCTTATTTTGGGTGTACCGCAGGACTCTATCCTGTTCTTTCTTCTGTGTTCTCTCTATACCCTCTTGCTTGGTGCTTAATAATCTTACCTGCTCCCATGTTTCTTTTCTGGGCAGATGACTCCCAGTCTATATGTATTGCTGTAAGCTTTCTCCTTAGTCCAGGCTCATAGCACCAGCTGCCACTAGACATTTCCAGAGTGTCCCTTAGATAGCTCTAAAACAGAACTCATCTTCCCCTAAAACCTGTCCCTCCAGATTTCTCTATTTTCATTGAAGGTTCTGTCCTATTGTTACTCATCCAGGTTCGTAAACTGAAGAGTGATGCTTGACTCTTCCCTCTCCTTCATTCCCCATATCCAGTCATTTCTGCCTCCACAACATCTCTCACAGCTATTCCTTCTCCCCACTCAGTCAGTCAAACAAGCATTTATTAAGTACCTCCTATGTGCTACATACTGTGCTAAGTACTAGGGATACAAAGAAAGGGGCCGGTGTCGGGGGGGGGGGGGGGGCTGCCTTCCAGGAGCGCTCATTCTAATGTGGGGAACAACGTGTAAATAAATATAGTAGAGACAGGACTACTGCTCTAAATCAGGCCTATATCACCTCACCTGGACTATTATAACAGCCTCAGAACTGGTTTCCCTTATTTACTCCCTCCCTTTTCTGACACATCCTTATCTGTCTGCTGAAATCTTCCTGAGGCTCAGTTTTTTTCTTTCAGTCCCTCCCTCAGAAACCTCTCATGCTCCCCACTGCTTCAGAGATACAAACTTCAGTTCCTGGGTGTTGCCTGCCTACCTTTATAGCTTTACTTCAAACCTCAGCACTTTATTAATTTGACATTCCAGCCAAATCAGGTTCCTCTCTCCTCCTCAAGCTCAGCATGTCTGTCACCTGCTTCTATGTCTCTGCACTTGAACAAGTTGTCCAGAATGTGCGGACCCTCAGATTCCTGAAATGAATACATTCTTTCCTCATTGGTACCAATCAGAGTTATTAAGGCTCCACTGGGCTGGTATCTCCTCTGTACCAGCCCAATTTCTCTCTTCCCATCTCCCCCAGGTGTTAATACTCCTTCCCTCTTTAATTACTTTGCCTCATCCTTTTTTTTGTGGGGGGGGAATAGGCAATGGGGTCAAGTGACTTGCCCAGGATCACACAGCTAGTAAGTGTCAAGTGTCTGAGGCTGGATTTGAACTCAGGTCCTCCTGACTCCAGGGCCAGTGCTCTATCCACTGCCCCACCTAGCTGCCCCACCTCATACTTATTTTTATATATATTTTTTGTATATACAATGTCATTCCAATAGAATATAGGCTTCTGAAAGGCAGGGACTATTTTGTGTGTCTTTATATCTCCAAGGCCTTGCTCATCATAGGCACTTGAATGTTTGAATTAAATTGTTAAGGAACAGGCCACATGACTTGAATATACCTTTGCTGAGTTGTGTGGATAGCTCCAAGAGTCTGAATGAACCCTCAGAGAAGAGAAGCTGATTTTTTCTGTGTCTGCCATGGAAGCTGCCTGCAGCTCTGGCAGTCTTGATGGACTCTGACCACATCTCAAGTACTGCCTTCTTCCATTGGTGCTACATTTTGGGAGGGATCATGACCAATTATAGAGCTTCAGAAGAAGGCAGCTAGCACAGGGAAAGGTCTAGAAACTATACCACATGAGACGAAGTTGAAAGAAGTGGGTTCTTTAATCAAGAAAAGAGAAAGCCAAGGGAAAGTGTGATAAAAGTCCCCAGACCTCTGAAAGGTCATGTCATGTCAAAGAGGAAATGCGTTTGTTCTATGCTGTTTCAGAAGGCAGAACCAGCATCAAAGAGTGGGTTTTATAGGAAACAGAACGCCTGCAGTAAGGATGACAACCTAGTCACCAATCTCTAATGCTGATGTTATAGAAGAGGATCCAGTGTTGGAGGTGTGTTGATCTAGGTAACATTTAGTTCACTTTCATTTTTAAGATTGGATTCTCTGAGTACGTTTCCCAACCTCTGGGCTGGCAAGAATAACTGCAGTAAGTGCCTCCTTGGGCTTTTGGGTCCTGCTGCCTCCTCAGGTGGGGATTGATTGATGAATAGAGACTGAAGAAGCTAATTGTGAACAGTTCTGCTGAGAGGGCCAAAGAGGTCCAGGTGTACCTCGTCAGGAAAAATAAGAAAGTGAAGGGTGATGGTTTAACAGGGCTGATCTTTTCAGGATTCCCAGAAAGATCCTGAAGTCTAGGCCCTCTGGAAACAGAAGTGGATTGGAGGAAATAGGCAGCTCTTAGCCAAAGACAAGATGGAACAGATGTGACTGACTAACTCCATCCTTAACAGCAGCAAGATCAAATTAATGGCCTTTCTGCAGACTGGAGTCTGATTTGGGAGGGTGTACTTTCTTTCTTTACCTTTTAGCCACAAACTTTCTTTCCCTTTCAGCCCAATATCTCATCTGTACTATAACCAAACCTCCCCTCACTCCCCACCCCATTCAGAATGATAATGGTGACAAGTTATTATCTTACATGCAGGAAGAAACGATTTCAAATGACCTTTCCATAGGAGAAACAGAATGAAATTGAAAAGCACTTTTAGCTACTGAATAGAAAAGTCAGGCTGGAAGAGCTAGGTGTGCCCCCTAGCACACACACAATCACACACACACAGGGTGTTCCACCCTAAACTATCTTCTGGTAGGGTACAAGAGCCCGCCTATCTACTTTTACCATTAGACTCATTGGTTAATGGATCACTTGTGGACTAGGAAATGGATGCCAAGATGACTGGCCACTCTCTTCTTGGAAAAGAGCCAGGGTCCAGCAGATATCAGTGAAAAGTTTTCCAGCAGTCAGATTTGTTCTCCTTGGCTGGAAGGTCAGGGATGTCAGAGTAGCTATGTAGACCTGTCCTAGTGATTCCTTGGAATTGGCGAGCCTCATTTCAGATTTGGGGAAATGGAGGCCAAAGAAAGTGCCTGTTAACCAGGTTAAGACAAAATAGTTCATTGGCATCCTCTGGTATCTTTCTGGCTCATGGTGATTCATTCATAGGTGTCCTTTTGCCCTAGTATCGTCTGGTGTCGGGAACTCTGCTGAGATAGGGCAATAAAGGAATTATTTTCTCTTTGTTACAGAGGGGGAAATAAATTACAATGAGCTGCTCAAGAGCCCACCCTATGAACTTCAATGTCAGAGCTAGGAATTGACTCCAAGACTTCTTTTCTAATCCTGTGATTCTGGGTAGCTAAGAGTCAAGGAGACTTGACCTGGCCTAGGCAGTTGCTGGGAAGGCAAGGGTGGGCAGTGTTCTCATTTCAGGAGACAAATGGCAAGGTCAGGACAGAAGAACTCATTTTGTGGCAGAGGCTACTGCTAGAAAGAGGTGCTACCTCTTTTTCCCCACCACCCACCAGACCTAGAGGTAGCACGTCTTTCCCCTTTGAGGAAAAGGTAGACTAGAATGGGACTCTTGATCACATGCCCCTTAATTACTACACTTCAAGCATTTTCCTGACCCAAACCAATATTTCTGATATTGGGATATCCTCAGGACAATATCATGCCTATTCAGCAAATGGGAAAACTGGAGGTTCCAGATGGGCAGTGGCTTTGTGGCCATGCCAGAGGCTGTATGGGGAGAGTCCAGAGCAGTTCTCCTCAGATATGGGAGGAAGTTTCTGCTCTAGCCGTTAGGAACTATGATCTCCTAGAAATTGTCTCACATCTAGTTGCTAATAACTGAGCATTTTTGTTAGTCATTTTTACCAGGGAAAAGAGATTTTAAATATTCTCCTTGACCCTTGCAACCTCCCTTGATGTCAAATGCCTTAGGAGGCAGTCTGATTCAGTGGAAGGAGTGCTCACTGGCTCTGACATCAGAGGCTGAGGTTCAAGCCCAGCATGGACGCTGTCCTCCAGCCTCCCTCGCTGTAAAATAAGGACCTCTGAGGATCCTTCCATCTGCAGGGCTAGGGCTCCATGCATTTATGCAGCTAGGGTGGCTTTGGCAATTTTATAGGTTAAAAGGACTCTTTTCCCTACCTGAGGTCATCTGGAAATAGGAATAAACTAGGGCTACGACTGGTGTTCCCAGGATCCAAAGGAAGAGGACACTAGTTGGCTGTGGAACTGTCTTAGCTCTTTTTCAGAAATCTAGCTTGTCACGGGGAGATGGGGTGGCAGGGACCTCTTAGTCCAATGCAGAAAGCGAGGACAGCAGAACCTCATCAGATATTTGTTTGCCAGAGAGGGCTCAGAGGTGGTGGAGCATAGACTAGCCAGGCCTCCCAGGGCAAGCAGCGGCTACCTGAGCTGCCAGGGACCTAGAAGGGCAAGGCTAGATACAAATGTGGGCACTTTACCAGCATTTGAATGGAGCCTCAGTCAATAAGGGATTGGCCTCAGGGACCTTTGAAGAATTGGTTCCTGGTCTAGTTCTGATAATGAATTCACCCATAGTCCCCCGCACCATGCACCCATGCTATAATGGACTCTAATTGGTTATGGGCCATGGGGTCTAATTAAGTTAGTGGCAAACCCAAATGACCTCTGGGAGCTGTATGATGTCCCTGATTTGCTCTACTGTGGATTAATTCTTGTTTTTCCTTCTTTTGTTTTTTTCCTTTTCCCAAGGAAGCAAAAAAAAGCCTTATTTATTATCATTTTCCCCACTGTTGGCATGGCAACACAGGCGTACGTTACTGAGCTTCAGGCGGCCCCGCAACCACCACAGCCTCAACAAGCCCCTCCACAGGCTCAGCCCCAGGCACCACCACCACCAGCGGCCCCTCAGCCACCACCACCACCACCACCACCACCACCACCACCGCCACCTGCCGCCGCCACTTCCCAGCCACAGTATGTTAGTGAACTGCAGAGCCCACAGCCCCAACCTGCCAGCCAGAAACAGTATGTGACTGAGATCCCAGCCCCCTCAGCACAGTCACAGCCCAGTGGCCAGCCTGCCCCGACCCCGGCCCCCCAGCAGTTTATCGTGGTGACGGTCTCGGGTAAGTACAAGAAAGAAAGACCTGGTTTTCTAGGCCTTACAGGAAATGGTTGTCCTTGGAGCATCTGTGAGCATCCCACCTATGAAAACCCTTTGGGATTAAGTTCTAGCGTCTACCATACCACAAGTTTCAAGGTTCCACAGGTCTAAGGTACTTGGTTCTAATGCCCCGTAGTCTGTGATTTAGTAGAAGGATTAGGGGAAGCTGGGTGGCACAGTGAATAGAGTGCTGGGCTTGGAATCTGGAAGACCTAGGTTCAAATCCTGTCTCAGACACATACTGGCTGTGTGACCCTTGGCAAGTCACTTAACCTCTCTATGCCTCGGTTCTCTCACTTGTAAAATGAGATTAATAATATCACCTACTTCCCAAAGTTGTTATGACGATCAAATGAGTTAATATGTGAAGTGCTTTGCAAACCTTAAAGTGTTATATAAATGCTAGCTGCTTTTATTATTAATTTTATTCTTTCTAATAATTGTTTTTGTTTAGTTATTAAGTAATCATAATAATATTGCCAGTAGTAATAGACCTACTCTGATACTTCCTTAGAGTAGGGAGATGATCTTAGTTTTTCTTTCTTATTTTTTTTTAATTTATTTTTAGGCAATTTTAGGTAACTAGGTTAAGTGACTTGCCCAGGGTCATACAGCTAGTAAGTGTCAAGTGTTTGGTCTGAGGCCATATCTGAACTCAGGTCCTCCTGACTTCAAGGCTGGTGCTCTATCCACTGTGTCCACTGTGCTAGGTGGATAGAGCAGCTAGGTGGATGATCTTAGTTTTTCAAAGGCTATGCCAGCAGGCTCTGCCTATATAAAACTTACAGAGTAGTATCAAATATAAGTCTGGTGAGACATTCCATGGCTTTCACTGAAGGTTGAAGGATCTCTTCAGGGGATTGGCTGCCAGGTGATGATTCTTTTCAGCCACGGCAACTCACAGTCTGCCTAAAGGAGAGAAGGCTTACGATGGACATTATTATTGTCCTCAAATGTTTGAAGAGTTCATATTCGGAAGAGGGATTACATATGTCCTGCCCACCTCCAAAAAATAGAACTAAGACCAGTGGATGGAAGCTACAAGGAGGCAGATTTTGATTCATTAGTGGGGGAAAATTTCCTAATGATTAGAGCTGTACAGTGAAATGGAATGTGTCTTCACTTGAGGTCTTGTAAGTGAAGGTTAGATAACCACTTGTCAGGGTTATTTTAGAAGGGATTTTTGCTTTGGGTAAGGGTTAAACTAGAAAATTCCTGGTGATCCTCCCAGCTCTAGGTGTCTAAGACAAAATGCATGCAGGAGGAGTGGAGCTTTTCATCAGTCAAGGAAGTGGCCACAATGATGAAATCATGGATCCTTAAAAGTATAATTACAAATAATAGTATTCATTTTCCTTTTACTACCATTAAAAGAGATTGCTAATAGCATCAACACTTGAATATAAAGAATTCACCTGCCTTTATGTGGGGAGAAGCTTTCGTTTTCTAGGAGGTTCTGGAGCAGACCTATGCCCTAAAGTCTATAGCCCTAAAAGTCTCTGGACCAGTCCCTGCTTCCACCCCCAGGCACCATAAGATCCCCAGAAGACATCTAAATTACATGACTTTAATGGACTCCCTTGTGCTTTTCTTCAGATACCATAGTGATCACAGAATTATTCTCCACTCTACTCTTTCCCCCCAGTCCCAGGCAGTAGCATTATCACCCAAGGCACTTCAATGCCTGTGAATCATTTGCGAGTCTGTTTGGTCACCACTGATTTAGAGATAGGAAACAAAGGGTCAGAATACAGAAGTTTAAAGAGTATATTTCTCTAGGGATTGGTGTTCTCACTAAGCATCTTGTACGTTTGGGTAACGGATATGAGGGATACATAGGGAAGTCTCCACGTTTGAAGTTCTAGTTAGTGAAGGGTGACATGGATGAAGATGAACATCAGGAGAATCTTGCAAGACTGGGGTGGGGTGAGTCCCAACCTGGGAGAAGTTATTACTTATGATACAAACTTAGAGGATGAGGTCTGCTTGATGGGATTTCATTCCTTTTGCCATCTTTGTCAGCTTTGATTGAGTACACCCAAATTCAGATGCTACCGAGTAGGGTGAGCTTACAGTCCAGTAACAGTCCCCTGAAAGTGTTACTGAGCTCACCCCACCACAGGTTGCTGTTATCTTGCTCAGTTGAGGCCTCTGTAGAAATTGTCTTTGCCTCTTTTCCAGCCAACATGACTAGGATGAAGGTCTAAATGGCATGCTTATTGTGTGTGCTAGTAACTGTCAAATGAGAGGTGTAGTCAACATAGTAGATGGTTTGAACTGAGATTGTAGGTAGGCTGAATCTAATAAGGGAAAAAGTCCTACATGTGGGTTTTTTGTTCTGTTTTGTTTTGTTTTGTTTTTCCAAAAATCAACAACAGAAGTGATTGGGGAGATCACGGATGTGGAGATCTTAGTGATTCAAAGCTCTTTGGGAATCTGCATTGTTGTAGCCAAAAAATACACACACAACTCTGGTTGTGTTAGCAGGCAGAGCAGAGTCCAAAACGAGAAGTCAGATGATGCCACTGTACTTTTCCCTGGTTAGACCATATCTACAGCCAGGGATGAATGGAATGAGAATAGGTCTAGAGGACAATTACTGGAATGGTGAGAGCTCACAAACATGCTGGCCCAGGGTTGGTTAGAGGAACTGAAAATGTTCAGCCTAGAGAAGAGAATATTTAAAGGAGTCCTGGGATTGCCATCTTCATGTATTTACAGACTGAATGAAGGCTCAGACTTACAGCTAGGACCAGTGGGGTGGGGGGTGAAAGTTACAGAGGGTCATTTCAGCTCAGTCTCAGGGAAAACTTCTTAACAATTAGAGCCACCTAGAGATGGAATAGATGCTTCAGTGTGTAATGAGGAAAGATGGAGCCGTTTACTGAATACTGTAGAGGAGGCCTCGATTGGGTTAAATGACCCACCAGCCTTTAGGATTTCTTTCAACCTTATCATTTCATCTAGGGCAAAACATTTCCACAGGGGCACCCTCAGGTACCTTACCACAGGAGACTGGCTCAGGCTCAGGGACTGCCAGACCTTGTAGGCTAAGAACTGTCTAGGTCTATTCCTTGGCCAAAAGCCCTTGACCAGAAGCAATTGGAAATTATCCAGGGATCAGAGCAGGGAAGGGAGGGGCCCCTGGGCATTGGTTCTCTGGAGTGGGATCCGGAACACACAAACTGGAGGCAAGTTGAGGGAAAAATGAGAAGCTGACTAGACTAACAACAGAATCCTGTCCCCAGCCAATCTGCCCTGGAGGTGACTTTAAAGATGATACTGGCAAAGATCAAATTACTCACAGTTGGGAACAATACTTTGAATTCATAAATCTCTGTCCTCAGAGGCAAACGAACTTTGCAAAGAAATCTGAGCAGGAGAGAGGAAGGGTACTGTAGATGACAATGGGCTCTGTGCCCAGAGAGGTTGGATGCCCAGCTGGGGATAGGATGTGCATTCTGGGTCCCCTAGTTCCTCAAGGAGAAAGAAAGTAGCCCTTTGGTACCAACTTGTCAGTGTTAAGACTGTATTGAATGATACTTTCTTCTCACTTTCACAAACTTTGGTACCAAGAACTGCAGAGAAATAAGGCAGTGGGCCAAGATGACATGTCATACAATTTACATCTAATCTTTATTTCTTTTGTATTGGGCTATCTTGGAAATCTGTTTCTGTATAGGGGGAAAGTTTGAATGTCCTTGCTAGGATCACAGGAGATTGTATGGGATAGTCATAGTATCTGGAAAATTCTGATTGGTAGGAAGTTTTTCTTTATATTTAACTGAAATCTACCTTTCTGTAAAGTACAACGTCCCCCTACTCCACCCCCACCCCAAAATCTCCAGCTCATTGGAGGATGTCCCTTATCTGTTTTCCATGTTATTTCTAAGAGTGGAAGGGCAGGTGAGTGTATGGGTATTCTGAGTCCTACAGGTGTCTTATGTACCTATTTCCCCAGACACCTGGCCTTTTTTACCCTCTGTCTCTGTGTGAGTGGCATCAAAAATTAGCTCCCACCACAGATAGGAAACAGGCATAAAAAGCAATGGCCTAAGGCTCAGGTCATATTGGATATCAGGGGCAGAGCTGGGCTGAAAGCCTCAGACCTTTATGATTCCTGGCTCGCCTGGCTTCTGTGAAAGCTACACACACGCTTAGGCTGGGAGCCAGGAAACTGCCCAGGTCCTATGAGCAATGGGAATTTTAATTAGGAGCCAAGAACAGCTCCATTTCCAGGAACTTTTTTCTCCCCCCAAACCAACTCCCCAGTGGGAGTATCAGATCTCTAGGTTGGCAGCATCATAGAGTCTGCATTGAACTATGTGGCCCAGAGTCAAGCCCTGATTTCTGGACTAGCCTAGCACTATAGGAAGGGATGTCGGCATCTCGTCCCCTATCTATAAAGGATCCCTTTCCCTAAGAAAGTCAAAGGCTTTAATTGGAAATCTAATTCACCCTCACATCCTTCTCTCACTGAAAGAGTCACTTCTCATATTCAGATAAGGCACCTGAGGTCCAGCTGGCTTGGGACCACACAGCACATCCATGGGAAAGCTGAAGACCACTGATGAGTGAGAGGGAATTCAATGCAATCTCCCACTGTGACACCAAGCAGTCTGGCTATTAACTTCAAGACTTGAGGCGTTTTGGAAGAGGTCCTTTCACACAAATCTCTATACACATCCATACATACACAGAAAGCTACAGACAGACCTACTCAGAGAGATACATGTGCGTAGAGGAGGACATAGCCACAGACCACAGAATTACAGAATGTCAGGATTGGATTGGACCTCAGAATCATTTAGTTCACCTAATATCTGAAGAGAAATTGCCTGACAAAGGATCTTGTAGCCTCCACTTCTTGAAGTCTTACAGTTACGAGGAACTCACTACTTCCTAAGGCAAAATAGTCTATTTTTGCACAGCTGTAATCACTAGTCAGTTTTGCTTTTCATCTGGCTAGACTCTGCCTCTGCAGATGCAGAACAAGAGATGGCTCCTTGTTCTAACCTCTGTCTGATCCCTTTTCCATAGGACAGCCCTGCAGTGTAGGGGAGTTGGAGCACAGATGTGAATGCCTATAGAGAGAGGTGTACATGAGGAGGGGATGGTAGGTCGGAAGGCTGAGCAGAAATACCTGCCTACGCCCTACCCACTTCCATGATTCAAACAAAGACATTCAGACTATCCATATACACTCACATAGGCACAGACACACCCATCAGAACACAGGAGGATGCAGTCACATAGCCATGGCCACACACACACACACACACACACACACACACACACACACACACAC